ACACACTCAATGCAGTACAGCATCCGGACGCTAGGACCCTGTAACATAATCCTGTCATCCTGGCAAACCAGGACCATTGCTCGGCTGCACACACATTCGCACGTGCAGTCGACATCGAGGCCAAGCCGAGAACAACGTGGCCAAACGAGAGGACACGACAGCGTACCTGGACTCCGACGACGGAGTGGATTTTGCAGCCAGAACCTCTTTCTCCGCGGATTGGCATTTGCTGCGTCCACCCAAGTGGCCAATTTACTGTCGAGCTCGGGATATTTTGGGGGCTTTAGATTTGATCGGCGGTGCATGGCCTTGTTTGCGATATTGTACGACTTCATCTCTCTGGTATCCTTCACTATCGCCCAACAGTGCTGGCGTGGATCAAACATCCAAATTTCTTGCTTGCCCAGTTCGCTAATTGGGGATATGTTACTGACCCTTTAGTCTGGCTTTCGAAGAAGGCTCGAAATGTATCTTTTTGTTGCAAGGTAAGCCTTTTCCCACCCGATGGCAACACGGCTGTCTTGGAACCAATTTTGAAATTCAAATCCCACCTCTTAGAACTTCATATATGACTTGCATCATTTCATAGAGTGTATCGAATATGGACAATAACGGGGGCATCACTGTATTTACAGTGGTGAAAAAAGTATAGGACATCACGATTTGTTTGTGTATTCCGCCATGTTTGGCTGAATGATCGCGAAAATCAGCTGACCAATAAAATAACAATAAACCAATCAAATTCAAGTTTTCCGCTTTGAAAACCAAGTTGGCGCGCGCGTTCTGCGTCATTGTTGAAATCACCGACAGTACCAGGTGGAGAAAGTATAGGACATTCACCTATACGAGTCACAAAACAGTGCGAAACGACGCGAAACTCGCCCCACACACAAGCCTAAAGATAATACACGACGTAAACACCACATCATTCCGTCATCCATGCCCCGTGGAACTCACCTCGACGAGGAAGACAAGCTCACCATACACCTTGCATCTCAAGGCAAACGAGTAACTGAGATCCACGAGTTGACTGGAAGGTCACGAAACGTCATAACGAACCTCCTCAAGGACCCAAATGCCTGCTGAGAGACCAATCGCCCAGAAAGACCAAGCAAACTAACTCCCAACGGCCTCCGTCGCATGAACCGTTCTGCCTTGACTGGAAAAAACTTCTCGCGAGAGCTCGCATGCCAGCTCGAGTTGCCTGTGACCCCTCGGCGCATTCGTATGTACCTACAAGACTACCCATTGTTACAATATACGAAGCGGCGTGGTACCCCACTCCTGATGAAACAGCACAAGCAAGATCGCATGCGTTGGGCGGAGTCAATGGGTCGTGCTGCATGAAGATGCATGGGCGAAATGCGTCTTATCTGACGAAAAGAGGTCAAATTTGGACGGCCCAGATGGTTTCCAATATTTCTGGCATGACTTGAGAAAAGAAAAGGAGATTTTTTCTCGACGTCAAGCCGGTGGTGGAGAAGTCATGGTTTGGACAGCCTTTTCATCGAAGGGGAAGACTGAGCTTTTTAATTTAGAGGGTCGTCAAGATAGCGAAGCCTACATCAGGACGTTGTCCAACCATCTCTTTCCCGAGATTGACCATTGGTTTGGCCGCGACTGCATTTTTCAGCAAGAAAAGACGTCAATTCAACGTTCCAAAGACTCCATGGCATATTTGAAGAGCAAGATGTGCCGGTGATGGACTGGCCCTCCCGTTCCTCCGACTTAAACCCCATCGAGAAATTTTTGGGGTATCCTCGCGCGAGCTGTGTATGGGAATGGACGTCAATTCAAGTCGAAGGGCGAGCTGATTCAGACGATTCAGTCTGAGTGGTCCCGAATCCAGGAAAGCACGCTGGAGAATCTGCTGTCGTCGATGCCAAGGCGCTGCAGTGATGTAATCAAGCAACATGGATCCAAGACCAAGTACTGAGTGCATTTTTAGTTCATGACGTAACATACTTTTCCATTTTTGTCCATTTGTCCTATACTTTTTGCCACCCTGTCACTCCCGGTCACCGTTTCAAATCAAATTTCTCTTGATGTATTGTGTGAAATCAAGCACGGAAAATTCAGAATGATCTCACTCAACATGATGGATCTAAGATATCAATGCCATCCAATTGCACGACCTTTTGAATGTGTGGCTTTGGAAAACCGATATGTCCTATACATCTTTCTTTCACTGCATATACCAAAAGAATGGTCGAGTGCCACTGGGGAAAGATTTCCGTCGTTCCTTGTACGGCATCTCGTTTTGCCTGGAAGTGGTCACTGTTCGGCGCTATCGATATAGGGATGGAGGGAATCGTTTGACGCACTCCTAGGAGAAACAACTCCGACTGGTCCAAGTCGAAAAGGACAAAGAGATTCAAGTGCAAAAGGAACTCGGGGTGCAGGTCGACTGCCTCACGCAGCTGCTGCATCAAGAAAAGCGCAAGCAGGACGAGCAAAAGGCGCAGAACCTGGAGGCGTTGCGACCCAAGTACATTGCGCCGCGAAAAGAGAGGTGTGTGTGTGCGTGCCGACGTGCCATCCTCACAAAGGATGCGACGTGCGGTAGGTTTGTTTTGGACGGCGATCGAGAAGAACTCAGGGCGATCAAGTAGCAGTAGAATATGCTCCGCCTAGTCCAATTCAGTCAACAAGGCGCTGGTGAGGCAGCAGCAGGAAAAGACCGACCTCCTGGCGACAGGGCAGTATACAGAAGACAGCTTTGTCATCGACTCAATCACAGCGAAGAAACCACAGATTTTTACTGGCGTTCTGTCCACGGCGTGCCAATTCCACCCACGATTGCCCTCGGGCTTCCTTGTTCGTTTGCTGAATGTGAGAGAAGAATACACATGCCATGAGCGACTGCATCTGACACGCGACTCCATGTCGGCAGCAAAGGCGTTGAGATTGTGGACGGGTGCATCGCCATGCGTAATCCAGGAACGGCTGCATGCGCATGGCACTACATGCCACGGAGTGAGGGCAGGCTACTCTTAGACTCAGTCACTTTGACACGGAGGAAAAGTGACCACCAAGTGGCCTGTTGACCAAACACCCCGTGGAGCGTGCCATGGTAATGTTGGGATGGTCATTCGGAGCGAGGGCGAACGTGCGACACCGGGGCCACGACTGGGGAAGCCATTTTCGACGGACTTGGAGACGCCATCAAGATGGATCGATTGCTTTGTTTTACTACCAATGCTATATACATCTCTCTACATGTTTCGGGCTGAATGACGTTGCAAGACTGGACACAACAGTCAAGTGTGTGCGCTGCGTGCACATGCCCGATCCATTGTGGCATGGCCCCACCACTCGACAATCGCGCACGGTCTTACTGGACGCTCGACGCCTTCCCTCACGCTTGGCGACGTGCCACGAGCTACGTTTGATGGTTTCTTGGCTGCTTCAAGGGCTGAAAACCACCCTTCTCCAGCCTTAAACTCACCGTCCCCCGAACCAAAGCCGTCCCATGGGGCTGGACACTCGTTGTTGTCCTGCCGGCTTGCACAACCACCTACCGCGCTCTTTACGGTAGACTTTGATGACAAATTTAAAAGTGACTTCATTAGCCAGGTTAACAAACGCACTGTTCTCGACAAGGCGACATGATTAACAGCAGTTTTTCAGGCATCATCCCATTTCCATCGAGAATCGTGGGGGCGTGTGAAGCTTACGGTCATGGCAAGCAAAACTATTGTGTTGAGAGACCTTGACATCTGCGATCGCCCCATGGCTGGTCGAACGTGGACGGTGTACAACCTCGTCGATTCCTTGCCGTCCTCAAGATGGGATGGTCGTACCACGAATCATTTGTAGTTCATATAACAGTGGATTTTTCACAATGCGTGCATTACTGGACCCACCCTAAAACGAAAAGCCCTTCGCCTAGCAGCTCAACTTGGCATAAGCCAGTTTCGCGCTTCCCAAGGATGGCTCTTCAAGCTTCAAAGGCGACACAACTTTTGGGTTCATCGCCTCCATGGCGAGAGCGCTTCAGTTGAGCCCAACGTAGTCAAGACCGACCAGGAAAGCCTCTTTTTGGATACGGGATTTTATGAAGCCAGAGATGTAGCGACCAAAGGACCTAACTAATGATGTCGCGACGTCGAGTGTGCGTGGTCTGTAGAAGTCGGCAGCTAGCCGCACCCGCACCCGCGACATGGCAGCTAGGCGCACCCGCATCCGCGACACGGTCGCGTGAG